ACTTACAATTATTTTGTGAGATATAGTTCCTACTTGCTGAGCGAAAGCTCAATCAGATATGTTCATGCTGTAGGTAAGAAACCTATAAGCAATTCTTGAAGGGCAATGGCGAGCGGTGGACGAATGGTGGAGATGGAAATGGATACCGCTCACGCAGTTACCTTCCGCAGTAAGTTTAAGAAAAATCATGTATATGTCTATATGATTCAAAGGTTTCAAGTATGTATGTTTAAAAAGTTATAGGTACATATGTATGATTAAGAAAATCGAGGTTGTAGCTAACAACCCTAGTTTTGAGTATTTAAGTTTTAGAATGTTGCAACAGTGCATGCAACAAATAAACGAATTTTAAACATGACGATTTAAATGATTGATTTTAAAAGGACTTTAAGATGTACTTGAATTTAAGATTTCTCACGAAATCCATTTTAAAGTCAAATTAAATGGCCCAATTGAATTAGCTAGTTTTAGAAAGGCTTTTAAAGAGTATTTGAAACAAGAGTTCAAACACAGCTCCATTTGAAAAATATTTCTAGAAGGTTTTATCTTAATTGAAATTAAGAAAAGCTTTAAGAAATTCAGTGATTTATTCTTTTGAAATTATTGTTACGAATTATGAAAGTATTCATTCTTATGTTTAAAAAAAAAAAAATGTTCCGCAAATTTTAAGAAATGCCAGTAAGTACAAGTTAAAGTTTAAGTTACAGTGGCGGCCTCATAGGAGGGGCGTCACATTTATACTTGGCGTTTTAACAGTAACCCATAAATTGATGAATTTACTCCTCGTATCTTATGGAAAAACATGTATGGAACATTACTTGACAAATTTATCTTTTGCAACTTAGCTTGAAAATATAATTTTTTACGACTTTCTATTTATATATATTTTTTCTTAACATAACGTCTTATTCGATTTTGGTTCTAAATTTATATGTAAGCTACAAAGATAAATTTTTTAATTCGGGAGTTACCGTGAAAATTGTATAAATTTGAGATAAGTTTAAATTCAGCTAGTATAATTTTAAGAAGGGATATAATGGCATTTTTAATGGTTTTTTAATAATGGTAGTTGAAAAATTAGATAAACGACCCTTTTTTTATTAACTTAGTAGTCAATTATTGATAATTAATTAAATTAGTGGTCAATCACTGATTGACTTATCACTAATTAACTTTAATTTATTAATAATTAACTCGATGATTCTTAATTATAAATCACTATTTAGTAATTAACTAAAATTGGTTAGTAATGGATTATTTTAATAAAAAAATTATAGAATTATTAATAATAACTATTAATAAATTAATAATAATCTGACTGATTACAATAGAAAAAATTATTTTATTAAAATAAAAAAGTTTGGCTATTGTAAAAAAAAAAATAAAAAGTACAGTCATTTATTAAAAAGTGTGCTCTTCGCTAATTTTCTCTTTTTACGAACAACTAAAAGTTAAAAACATATGATATATAAATATATATATATATATATATATTTATAAACTCGAGATAGTAAGGGGTTGTTATTTTGTTCAAAAAACTTTAAAAAAAAACAACTCAAGTTTTAACTTTATTTAAGTTCATGTTCTTTTAAGTTCCAATTTTATTCAACTTTATTCAACTTTATTCAAATTACAACTTCAACTCAAGTTATAACTCAAATTCAACTCAAAAACTACTCTCAAGTTACACTCTAAAAGAATAGGCCCTAAATAACTCAAAAAAGCGTATATTTAATTAGCAACATTTCAAGTCGCAAAATAATTGCAAACATACAAAATGAAAATTTATGGTGCATTTAGAATTAGTTTTTTATTATTTTTAAAAACATTGTTGCACGTTTTTTAAGATATGAAAATGAAAACAACTTAAAAATCGTGTTTGTTTAGTAAATATTTTGAAAATGAAAATGAAAAAAAAACAGTCAAAATAATTTTTGTGAAGGAATTAAAAAATTGTTGAAAGTTGTATTTCCTTTTCTGTTTTCATTTTCTAGTACTTATCAATAATGTTATAATATATTCATTAATAATTATAATTAAATAAGATTTCATTGTTTCATTATACTTAAAAAAATTAAATAAACGTAATTTTAAAATGATTCTCAAAATAATCTCATTTTTATTTTTATACTAAAAATAAAATTATTTTGAAAATATTATGAAACGGGCTCCCGATTTCTCCACTTTTATTATTAAATATGATCCATATGGACAATCATACACTAAGGTCTCGTTCATTTCACCGATTTGAGTTTTCAGTTCTAGGTTTCTACAGTAAAAAGCTCTCAGAAAATGTCACATCTAACTTTTTTTGCTATAGTAAAAAGCTCTCAGAAAATATCACATCTCAGCTCGAATTGAAAACTCAAATCCGCGAAATGAACAATACCTAATAAGCCAGCTAGCTAACAACTTTTCTGCGCCTTATCAAAAGCTTCCATTCTTTTTTTTTTCTGAATAAAAGCTTCTAATAAATTTCAAACAATGCATAGCAACCGACCCTCTATCCGAGACAACGTAGAGAAAATGTAGAAAAGACAATTTACCTACTCTCCGATCTCCAACAAAAAAACAGTAAAAATAATTTTTGTGAAGGAATTAAAATATTGTTGAAAGTTGTATTTCCTTTTTCGTTTTCATTTTCTAATACTTATCAATAATGTTATAATATATTAATTAATAATTATAATTAAATACGATTTCACTGTTTCATTATACTTAAAAAAATAAACGTAATTTTCAAATGATTCTTAAAATAATCTCATTTTTATTTTTATATTAAAAATAAAATTATTTTAAAAATATTATGAAACAGGCTCCTAATTTCTCCACTTTTATTATGAAATATGATCCATATGGACAATCATACACTAATAAGCCAGCTAGCTAACAACTTTTCTGCGCCTTATCAAAAGCTTCCATTTTTTTTTTTTCTGAATAAAAGCTTCCATTTTTTTTTTCTGAATAAAAGCTTCCAATAAATTTTAAACAATGCATTGCAACCGACCCTCTATCCGAGACAACGTAGAGAAAATGTAGAAAAGACAATTTACCTACTCTCCGATCTCCAAGATATATGCTAGTTTATTCATTGTCGTACTCAATAAAAAAAATGTCCTCGTTGTCGTTATTACTATATGATAATTAGTAATGGCTCGTCCTTGAATTTCTGTTATAATAATTTCGTCCTTAAATTTTTTATTTTGATACATTAAAGTTGTTGAATGATTTTTGAAATTTAACGTAAATTTTATCCTTATTACATAATAATTAAAAATTTTAATTTAAAAATTCCAATATATTGGAAAATATCATTAGCCTCTATATTGTAATTTGGTTTGAACTCATTTCACATTATTTGAATCCAAAATCTTGTTGAAACTGTGTTTGATAAATTTCAGAATCAACCCCATCTCCCCCATGTTTTTAGATTTTTTTTTAACCTAATTAATATATAGAATTTTGGGCTCAATAATTTCCCATACCTACCTCACTTATCTCTATTCCAACCATCTTTTCAATATAACAGCAAAACAAATCTCCAGAACTTTTCCTTTTTTCAAACCCATGATCAACTACTCGCGTAAATGTCATTTCAAACTGTAATTTTAAACCGCATTTTTCAGACTTTTCATTTCAACTAAAAAAATAAACCACCACTTTTTGAATTAGTTTATGAAACTAAGCCATATAGTTTTCAAAGGGTTTTGATAGTATTAAAAAAAAAGGAGGAGGAAGAAAATCTTGCATATAATTAACGTAACTCTTTTGTAAAATTTTAAGTTATTATGTATTTTTGTTATGTTATAAAAATTATCAATTTTAGTGTCAGAAATCATAGCTGTTAAAAAAAGAATGTTTAAAGACTAATATGTTAAAATTAAAATTTGAAGACTCAAAATGTCACTATGCAAATTTCAAGGCCTAACTTATCAATTATTCTTCATTATGATTATTAAAAAAAAAAAAAAAAACGTTATGAATCTACTACTGAAGATGTATTGATTGGACATATTTTGTAATGATTTCCTTCAACCTTTGCATGAAATTAACCGCGTACATGAAATGATATTAATTTCATCAATCAATTTTACCCTTAAAAAAACGAAAACAAAAATATCGTCAATCAATTCATGCCGTTGTTAGAAATGGCTTGAATGTCATCAGCACTCCGATTGCTTCAACGACGATAAGGACGAAGAAAACCATCTGGACACCTGCATTAATTATCCACGCATTTAATTAATTAGACGAGTAAAAAAAAAAGTATTGAAGCAAGTATTTACCAAAAAATAAATAATAATAAAAGAATTAATTAATTAAAAGGCTATTAAATATATGAAAATAGGTCAATACGAAAAGTTTAAGAAAATATATAGGTTAATTTTTAATTATAGAAATTAATAGGTCATAACTTGTCAAGTTATGATTTATAATCAGATAAGTTATTGACAAACTTATCAAGTTATAGTTTATAACCAGATAAATTATGAAAAAAAATCGTGAATTATGGACAACAACTTGTCAAGTTATGGTTCATAATCAGACAAATTATGGATAAAAACAGTAATTTGACCTATTTATTAACTTATGTAAACTATTGACCTATTAATGTTAATTCATCTCAAATCTTAACATATTTTCCTCTTTCACCCTTAAAAATATAGAAACACACCTGGGAGGATGGGGGCATCAAGTCGTTTTTCTGCCCAAGAGAACCTGTTGAGACAAACGGCGTCGTTGAGTAATATGGACTAATAAATTTACTGTCATGTAGAATTGGACTGGAAAATGAAAGGGAAAGGGGAAAAAAAAAATTATCCGCGGTATGTGGATCAGGAACTTTCCCCATCCCATTGACGAAGTTGGAAAATATTTTTTACATAGATACTATGGTTTTTTTTTTATTTTACCGATTTGAGTTTTTAATTTCAGTTTTACTATAGTTAAAAATTCTCACAAAAAATCACATTTAATTTTTTCTATTACAATTAAAAACTCTCACATAAAGTTACATTTCAGTTCGAATTAAAAATTTGAATCGGCGAACTCAATGAGGCCTATAAAAAAATTTAGAGATGAGTTTTTATTGAACACGGACGTAATTTGAAAAATAAAGACATAGTTATCTAATTCAACTATTGAGCAGGATCACACAGTTAATATATATAAAATGGGGGCGCAATTGAAATTTTACACAAAAATGGTGATAAAAATTAAAATTCTAAAATGTTAGTGGGGGCACACATGAATGTCCCCTCTTTACCTGCCCGGTGCCCATCGCAATTACTTTTCAACAAATCTTTATGAAAAACATTGATTGTATGTATTCTAATTATTGTACTACCATCACGAGTTAGTAGGTCATTCGTCTTAATTATATATTTATAGAAAAATATTATTTCTATATTTATTATTTAACACGTAAATTTTATTAAAATAATAATATATTATATTAATAGAGTTTACGCATAAAATATTGAATACAGAAAAAAATAAAGAGAGTAACAGAAAAAATGACATTAATGTCATGTTCATTTCACTGATTCGAGTTTAAAATTTGAGTTTTGCTACAGTAAAATGCTCTAAAAAACAGTCACATCTAACTTTTTTACTACAATAAAAAGCTCTAACATAAAATCACATCTCAACTCGAATCAACGAACTAAACATGACATAATATTTCTCATATTTATATTCGTGGTCTCAGTTTTAGGATACGAAAGTGGATAGAAAAAAAAATGATCATACATCTATATATTTTGTGTGTGCCTTTTAGTTTGTTTTGATTCAATCTTAGGGGGCGTTTGATAGATAGATTCAGAATCATGATTTTAGATCCTGATTCAGAATCATGATTTTGGATCCTAATTCAGAATCAGTGTTTGTTTACAGTGATTCAAAATCATGATTCAGAATCAGTGTTTGGTTTGGATGATTCTGAATCATGATTCAGAATATGATGTAATGTTTTAAATCAGAATCACTCATGATTCTAAAACCACCCCCTCTTAATTCAATGTGATTCAAACCCCTAATTTTGAATCATGATTTCAGAATTATGATTTGAACCTAAAATTATAAATCATGGTTTTAATTCTAGAATCATGATTAGAATTACCATAATTTAAATCTTCGTAACAAACAAACCCTTATTGTTCACGGTACTAAAATATTAAAGCCTCTACTTCCATATATTTAAGGTTGAGAAGCTAATACCGAGCCAAATAAAACATCTTCAGGAGCTAACAACTGTTACGACTAGAACCACTTCTCATTGTTAAATAATATTATTATTATTTGTTTTTATCTTTAACAAGGGTAGAATAGTCTCTTCATTTATTGTCACTGGTATAAACCTTAATTTTTAAGGAAATGGCTGCAGTACCGTAAACTAGATTCATGGTATTGATAACGCAAGTTATTGTAATCATACGATTAAAATCAAGAGTATGAAATGAAGGATCTAATGGTATAGCCAAGGAAGTTGTATCATACCCGATTTTAAAAATTTTAGAGTCATTCTCCGTTTATCTTCTGAATTTTAAAAATTCTTATTTTATCGTTTAAATTTTAAATTATTCCCCATTAATCTCTTCTAATATAATTTAAATTAAAAATAAATTAAAAAAAAGAGAAAAATACAATCACATGATTTTTCTATTTAAATTTCTATTAAAAGTAAACAAAAAATTACACTCGCAAATCTTTCTTTGCTCTCAAAATTTTTTTGGGTCTTTCACTTTCTCTCGCTCTCTGTATCTAATAACACCGATCAAATTCCATGGTGTAAGTGCTGGATTTCTCACTTTGAATTCCATTCCACGCCAATTGGGTCTACTTATTGTTTTGAAATTTTACTTATCCTGTTTTTTCTCTATTATTCTCTAAGCTAGTTTTTTAAAATTTTGTAATATATTAATTATATAATATAATTCAATAAGAAACTCTAGCATCGTTTTTTCTCTCAATTTGGTTTTAAGTTTTCACTCTCATCACACAAAAAGAAAATAAAAATAAATAAATAAATAAAAATAAAAAATAAATAAAAAAATAAAAAAATAAGGGGCGGTAACTTACAAGGCACCAGCTCCAAGTGGGCCAATAGCTTTAAAAAGAGACATCCCAGTCATTGCGATGCCATTAGCAGCACCTCGTCGTTCTTGTTCCTGATGTTAAAATATTATGTGCATGATTAAGTTGATAAATTTAAGAAGCAATAATATCACACCCAAATTAATAAATAAATAAAAAGAAATTTTAAATTCACAAGGAAGTACTTATTAAAACTAGTAAATACGGAGCAAGAACAAAAATTAATTACCACTGCTCTGTTTTGCAGAAGGAACAAGCCAGTGATGATAGTGATCTGATCAAGCAATTTAAAGATTTATTAGTTAGACAATAGAAAATCAAACAAATTAATAGCCGGATGGGGGACCTAATTTTTGGGGAATTACGCATGATTTAGATCATTAAAATTTTTTTTTTTTTTTTCATGAGGGAGGGGTCTTTTTAAATAGGAAACATATTACAAAAACAAAAATATACGCATTTGATTAAATTTGATAGTTCAAAAATAATAAAATATACACTAGCCGTAGAGTCTTAGTTCAAAAATAATAAAAAAAGAAAAAGAAAACATAAGAAAAAGTTGAATTCTACATTTACAAAAATTGATTTCCTTTAAGGATCTCTCTAAATTTTGAATCACTCAAAACTGTTTCTGAGACGATAGATCAAAGTTTATAATATATAGGTTTAGAGGATGTTTGGTAGAGGGATTCGTTCCCTAATTCGAATCATGATTCGTGGTTCACTACAGTATTTTCTCTCACAAAAAATTTACGTAAATCGAAAATGGTTCAAATTACATAGTTTGAATCCTCCAATCAAACGTCCTCTTAGTCTCAGGCCGACACTAGAGATTGTGTATTTTTCTCTATAAAACATATATATTTATTCTTTAAAATATGTATATATTGTATATTTTATCATAAAAAAATGTACATATTTTAAGAGAAAATAAACACGTTTTAAAGAAAAAATATACATATTTTATAAAGAAAAGAACAAGTATCGCTCTAGTCGAACTGGAGACCATATATATATATATATATATATATATATATATATATAATGCACATTTCAACTATGTCATTTCATTACACTCTCTTTTATCTTCATGTCATTTGATTTAGCGGTCATTAATGATAAATGAAAATGTTACGTATTTAACATCTATAACCTATAAAAGGTGTAAATCTATGTTGTTGCTGAAAATAAATCTATAATTTGCATATTTCCACTTACACATAAAACATTCTTCATCAAAGATGCTAAATTTAAAAGCAGCCAAACCGTGATCCCTGAGAACATGGCTATAAAGGGGTAGCCGGCCAATAAAGGTATGGATATTATCTGTTGATCATAAGAAATCCAAACCCAAAATCAGCACACGGAAACAATCGTGTTACCACTAATTAATAATCTCAATATTGGAAAAACTACGCAAAACTGACCCAAAAAAATGCTACAAGGAAGCTTAATTAGAGAATTACCCCTCCAATGCGACAAATCATCACGGGACCGACGAGCTTTTCCACGTGCGGATATAAAAAAGTTTGGAATACAAGAAGACCAAAACCTAAATATGGAATAAACGTGTGATCATAAATATTTGATAAATGAAATAAACATGTAGGGTCCGTTTAGCTTAGTTAATTGAAGTTTTTAATTCGAGTTGAGATATGACTTTATGTGAAAGCTTTTTATTGTAGTAAAAAAATTAGATGTGACTGTGTTTCTGAGAGCTTTTTACTGTAACAAAACTCAAATTCTAAACTCGAATCGATGAAATGAATGATGCATAATATATATGTTACAAGTGAAGTGAACAATCTAAAAAATTTTGGTGTTATATGTTTAAATAACCCTAAATGTATCTACTTTCATGAGGGTAAAAAGAACAAATAAACGACACATTACGTAATAATCAAACACATCAAAAACGTAGACGTGCATAATATATAAATTTGTGACAAAAATGATTCACGTATTCCAGAAAGTAACAAAATTTATGATGATGTACTGAAGACGCTGGAAATTCATACCTGAAAATGCAAGAACTTCACCAACATCCTCCGTTGACAAACTCAAACCACCAAATTTTTTTGGACTCACTGCCCATAATGAGAAAATCTGTAGGAGAAAACCTGGTTTGTCACTTAACGTGTAGGTAAATACAGTGGGGTGCATCTTCTCAAATAAATAAATAAATAAAGTAGGGTACATTTATTGTGAAAAAAAGACTATTTTACTTCTCTTATAGAAACTGTGTTTGGATTAGTTTTTTAATTGTCTAATACGACGTAGTTGCAGTTCTATATCTATATCGCACGCTGTAATTTTTTTAATGCAGACATACACAGATTTAACTGTTAAAAAAACAAATCGAACAGATAAAAAATGAACAACTTTTACTAGTGGGTTAAAATTAAATGCATGTCCTCCTACTATAAATATTCCCAATAAAGTTTACATTAGAGAAGGAAATAGATTGATAAACAGAAGGATAAAAGAACTCGTATAGAATAGTGACTTGGTTTAATGTGCAGCTTAGGATACTTAAGATTAACAGAAAATGTTAAAAAGCTCTAAAAGTAAAAATCTTTCTAATTAAATAGCCGGTTTAGGAATTACTGCCTTATTGTAAAATTTAAGAACTAAAACAAGATTTCGTAAATAATTTAGAGAACGACAATAAAATTAATAGAAAAAAGATTATATGCAATAATAAATTATATAACAGTCAATAATTGTATAAAAAGAATAGCAAATATATAGGAGGTCGATTTGATTAATACAAACTAAGAGGTAAATATATAATTAAGAATTTAGATGGAAAATCTCAACTTAAACAAAGTATTAGAGATCAGGTAATATATACCTCTGAGTATGCCATGTCATGAAGTGCGAAAACACAGTAAGCAATGATTGAAGACATTAAGGGCCAATTCTTAAAAAGGCTCTTATTAGAATTTCGCTCCACTACTTTAGTTTTTTCCTCTTTTTGATGAGGTATCGCACTTTCTAACTCTTCAATCGACTCTTCCTTTGTTGATCCATTGCTTCCACAACCATTGTGTTTATGTAATGTTTCCTGCAATAATATTTTGAAAAATAAAATTATATGCGTTATAGGTAATAATTTTCTAATGTGACGATATATTGCGGTTCCTGCCAAAGTTTTTTCGACTGTAAAAAAACTTTCCGTGATGACCGGCTTTTAGTGATCAAATTTTTTCAATCAAAAGTCTTTTGGGACCAAAAACATGGGCTGTGTTTGAAATTGATCCCGTTTTTATTTTTCACATTTTTCGAGAAAGAAAAAATAAAAACGTTTTCAAAACGGCGTTTGACACAATAAAGATAAAAAAACGGAAATGAAAACGATTTTTTGATTTAGTGTAAAATAAGAGAGAAATAAAAAATGACTTTTAGCCGTTTTTCATTTTTTGTTTTCGTTTTATCCTCTCTCGAGCAGAGAGAGAGAAAGAGAGACATTAATGAGTTTTTTTACATTGAAAACAATCTCTTGATAAAACTACCAAACGTATTTTTAAAAATAATTTCTGTCTGAGATTAAAAACATTTTCATTTTTATTTTCATACAAAAAATAAAATCATTTTAAAACGAGTTCTAAACACGCCCATGGCATTCTGCTGCTCAACTTTTGCTAGCAGAATGTCAAAATTCTTGTAGTGTATATGACTCGTATGACAAGAAAAAAAGAATCTATCTTAAGGAGAATTCTCCATCAGTAGAATCAAATTAAGTAAAAATATCCACATTGACAAAATTCGTCATTGACAAAATAGGGAAACAAAGAAATATACCGGAAGCCAAAAGGAAGCTACAGCTACTCCGAGTGCAAAAACTG